GAGAGAGAGAGAGAGAGAGAGAGAGAGAGCTTGTTGTTTAATTGCAAAATGTTTAATTGTTATACATTGTTTAATTAAATTAATATTAGTGCTAAATAAACTTGTAAAAAATAAATAGTCATGATATAAATTTATAGTTAGGTACCAATCGGTTCAATATATGGCATTGAAGATGAGTTAACAAATTTATTATTAAATAACCGATTAGTAAAGGACAAGGACAAACATTACATCAAGGACAAACTGCACTATCAATATAAAATATTATAAATACTGTAATTTGGTTTAAAAATTTATATAAATAAAGTTAACGTTATATCATTATATCATATTATTATTATAATAAATGCAGTCCTACATTAAATTATTTCAATTAAATTTATGTTCATAAATAAAATTAATAATGTTATTTGCAAAACAATTAAGTTCATTGGTATTAATCGTGTGTTTAATAGTGTGTTGTGTTTGCGATGGGAATAGTATTGATGTGAACACGAGTTCGGGTTCAGTGAGGGGTCAGACACTCCATGTCTTGAATCGCAAAATACATCAATTCTTGAATATACCCTACGCTGAGCCCCCTTTAGGCCCACTCAGGTTCGCCCCACCCCTACCACTCAAGGAGCCCAAACAGGTATTGTATTTATTTATTTATTTTATATTTTAACATGAAAATTATAATTTAAAACTTTTATTAGGGCATTATCGATGGCACAAAACCCGGCAATTATTGCATTCAAAACATAATAAAGTTTATTGATGAAGGATATGAACCCACCGCTAGTGAAGACTGTCTAGTATTGAGTATATGGACACCAAATGTGGACAATAGTAATGATAATCAACAGAAAGTGGGTCTTAAACCAGTCATGTTCTCCATATATGGCGGAGCACTGAGTATTGGATCAATATTTCAAACCGTTTACAACTCTTCAGTGTTGGCCACCAATGATGTGGTTGTGGTTGCGGTTAACTATAGGGTCGGGCCGTTGGGGTCCCTCTACGGCGGCGATGAGACAGCGCCCGGAAATGCGGGCTTTTATGACCAGTTATTAGGATTAAAATGGGTATTCATTTACTTTATTTAAATGAAATAATTATTATTTAAATAAAAACTAATTTTATTAAATAATAGGTTAGAGAAAATATACACCTATTTGGTGGAGATAAAAATCAGATCACATTATTTGGTGCGAGTGCCGGCAGTTGGTCCGTATCGGCACATGTATTGTCTCCCCTATCGAAAGGTCTGTTTAAGAGGGCTATTATACAGAGCGGGTCCGTTATGTATAACAAAGATCGTCCGGCGCTCAGCACTGTTGAGGGCCTTCAAAGGGCCAAACAATTGGCCCGACGTTTGAATTGCGATGAATTTGACTACAAATGGTTGGACTGTT